GATAACCTAAAAAGTTCAGGATAAAAGACTTCTGATATTGTGAGGTCTTAATTCATCATACTTACATTAGTTAACTCGAAGTATGGCCTTAAGGCTTTCTCCATTCCTTTCTGCATGAAAACAGTCCTTTCAGGTATCTCCCCAAGCAATAAACGTACAATAACAGCCCATTTGTTGCATTGAACTCTGAAACCGAGGGCTGCCATGGGGGCTTTCCGAGCAGCTTGAAGGAGAGACTCCTTAGCATCAGTGTATTCCAACTGGATAGTCCTGATCTTTCCAAGATAGAAAAGGTACCGACAAAACTGCAAAACAAGGAGAGCCAAGATGGGCATGATGAGAACCAAATGTGAGATAAAACAGTTTGATGGAAAAAAAAGCACAATAAAGAATAAATTGAAAGTTTGTAACAAGCATGCCAATCTGAACCGTGTGACAATACTGAATGAAGAGTTGGCCCTAAACTTTAAACATTTATAGGTAATGTGAAGCCAATGTTCTACTTAAAACCAATATAAAAGTAGGGATATTGAAATCGAAGCATAACCTATGATCCTAGTTTTCATCTATGAACGTAGGAATATGTTCAAATCCGATACATATGCTATTCCAAAATGAAGTTTCCGGGTTGGTTTACGATAATGACCAAAGTTATTGTCAATTCAATCTATATATATATATATAAGAACTACATTAAAAGTTAAAAAAGCGGTGGCCATAGTTGTCACGGCGGCTAGGCGAGGCTAGGCGTTAGTGTACCTTCCAGACGCCTAGGCGAATAGGCGCCCGCCTAGGCGTCCCCTAGGCGAGTGGGTTAAGGCGACCTTAATAATTTTATATGTAGTAATGTAAAAACATATAGTATGGAATAAGTAATTAAAGAGTACATAGATACCAACATTATGAAATATATGAATAAATATTGTTTGAAAAAATAAATTTAAAAAGATACTAAAAAAAGTTAAGTACCAAAAGAAGAGGAGAGAGTAAAAAAAGGATAAAAAAGTCTTTTCTGGAAAAGTACTCTCTGCCGAGAAGTACTCAAACAAATAAGTGCCAAAAAATATATAAAAACTGAATCTAAAGCTATGCTTATGTNGGTTATCGAAACTGGAGCAGTAGACTGGAAGGGTTGTTGACCGGCTAGGTTTTATTTCAATATCGCAAGTGGGCTTTTAAATTTTTTTTTTAAAAAAATAACGCTGGGCGTCGCCCACTCGCCTAATCGCAGCTTCCAGACGCCAAAAGGACGCCAAGATCGCCCAGGTAAAAAAAAGCTAGGCGTGAGGTTAGGCGTCCATATCACCTCGCCCAGACGCTTAGGCGTCGCCTAGGCGACGCCTTGATAAGTATGGCGGTAGCATGACTACACTATTTTATCAAATGAGTAACAAAAATATGCAAAGAAAGTGCATAAACTTTGACCGGTTGACCCTATGAATAGTGAATGAGAAATTCATTTTGGGATGGAGGGAATATATGTTTTCAATAAGAACACATGTACACAATGAGATGTAGAGAGTTACCTGCTGATTTGAATGAGCTTCAAATCGGGGTGCTTTTGATCTCAACTTTTCAGCTTGATCATACAGATTGTAGTGGAGGTAATTCCTCAGTAAAAGGTTAAGTATTGTTTCCTGAATTATAAACAGTGTCAAGTACAGATGAAAACTGTCACAAATTAAAATAAGATTTAGATTCCATATGTCACACCTGGCCCAGCTCATCATGACGAAGTGTTGCAATCCTATGCAAAGCAAGGAGATCACTGTTGAAAAACAAAAGGTTCTGATGTGATACTAAAATCTCCAAAAGGTATATTTATATATAAAGTCTCTAAAAACAAGATGCATAAGCCAGGATTGGCAATATGGTACCCAGAACAACTTTTCTTTTGCAAGGTGGTGGAAGGCTTTTTATTATATCCCCACTAGTCTAGAAGTAACTTTTTAATGCAATTAAGTTGACCACAAAAGGAGAGAGAACTTGCCCTCTAATGTCAGCAAGATCACCAGTAAGCTCATAGCTCAATGAGTAGTAGTAGTAGAGCTTAGAAGCTAGAACATCAACAGTCCTCCTGTTTAAGGTTTTCAGACGAGCAATGCTTGCTGACGAACAAGACTTGGCCTGAAGGTAAAAGAATACTCGGATTTAAAAAATGAGTGGTTTTAGAACAAAATGCTTGAAAATAAATCATGTCTATGTCACCCTATCATACCTCACTATACTTCTTCTGATCGATAAGATATATTGTTACGACCAAGTAACAATAGATCTCAAGCTCTGGTACAGTGTGTTTTACAGGAGGTTGAGCTGCTGAAGTTGCAGTATCAACTTCCATATCCTGCTCCTCTTCCTAAAGAGAATAATAGAAACTTGTAAAGTAATAATGGCTTCCCATGTAGTTATTTATATTAGGATAAAAGGCCAAACACGAGAGCTAACTAATGATCACAATGTAATTGATATTCACTCATCCAACAAGGAATAGTCCAATGCTTGATATTTTAAATTTTTCATCAAGCTGAGTCAAGTGGAGAGAATATAATCAACTACCCCCTACGAGTCCTTTTTATCACCAAATTCTCTAGGTTAAAACTTATTACTACACCCATAGTATACATGCATAAATTATCAAGCAATTCTTGATTTTACTTATTCTTCAGTAAAAATTGGGAATGGGAAATACAACAACAACAACCCAGTTGAATCCCACTACAGTAGGGGAAATGATAACAATAAAAGCACTTTCGCTGGTTGTGCACCCACAAGAAAGAAACCTGTCATAAATGCCTAATAGACACTCCCAACTCAAGAAAGATTATCAAACGAGTTTACCTTGGGCAGGAAAGAAGATAGGCGAGCATGAGCCTCCGATCCGGGTGCAAGGGCAAAATTGAGGAAAGCAAACAGTGTAGACGCCTTAAGCTTCTTCCTCAATGCCATGGTCAACCTCACTGCCTTGACAATCCTCCTAACCTCGCGAGAATATGCTCCGGTCTCAATAAGGGATCCGATGTCCTTCAGATCTAAAATCACAGCATTTACACACAAAATTCCATTTAACTAAAACTGAAAATACGGCCTCTATAGATCAAATTGACTCTTGAAAACCAACTTACGATGGAGAACGGAGTGGACAGCAGAGGAGGCGGAATTCGAAAGTGTAGGTTGTTGCTCTTTCATCTCGACGTCTTGAGTAGCCATCCTCTCTAATTCCGGCCAAATCTGAGAAATCAAAGATGAACGGAGGCCGGTGTAGCTGATATCCTGGGAGAAGAAGGGCCGGACGCCGCTGCTTGGAGTCGTCTAGTTGCAGAAAGTAATAGGGTTTTCGTTCACAATGGCGAGATGTAGAACGCAAGAACTTTGCCTTTCAGATGTTTTAGTTAAGCTTTCTCAAAATTAATCCACATTAATAAAAAACTTGACAAAGTTCTTGTGACATGTCAACTTATGATTATATTATGAGTGAAATATGTAAAATGTTGTGCTGGTAAAATTGATAGTTAATATTCATCTAAATTCTTTTATTTTCTCTACACTTAACTCCTCCTAGATAATCAATTTGGCAGTACCAAATCAACATTCTAGGAGTAGTGTGGTGAGTATAGTGAGTTTAGAGGGTAAGATTATCAATTTTGTAATAGAGCATCGTAAGTGTCTCGTGTTATAACATGACCTTAGTTTCCATTTTCCAAGGTAAAAAAAATTAAGAATAATATTTTCAGACACAGTAATTGAATTAGTAAAAATTAGTTTAATTTATATTTTTTATGTTTAATAAACAAAAGAAACATATCCAGAGATTTTGCTAGAGAAATATTGTTTCGGTAGCAGCATATTTGTCTAATATAATTTTTTTAACCCAAATTGAATGAATTTTGACCATTAGTTAAATAAAATTAAACTTCGTATTTGATATGACTATACATTTTATTTCATTTGATTTGTCTTGCAAAAGACTATTAAATTTAATTCATTATACTAATATGCAATGTAATTTTAATGTAATTTTAATGTAATTAGTACAGAATATTAATGTTTATCAAGTTCGTTAGTTTGATTTGAAAAAATTAAAATTAACGAATATTATGGAATGAATGAAGTATATATAAACATTTTATTTAATCTTGACATATAGTACGCAGTATTAAAGTTTTATTTATAATATACGGAGTACAATACATGCAAACTATGAAAATCATATATATACTAGATTTTTTTAAAGATTTGATATAAACTTCCCAAATTAAGCTTCATGTTTTTTTCTTAAAAGTTTAAGAGAAAGTAAAATTATATATTTGTAATTTGTTTGAGATTCATAATATTCCCCCTCCTCCTCTCTCTTATATTCCTCTCTTTTCTAATCATTCCTCTCTTCTTTCCCCCTCCAAATCATCTTATTTTCCCTTCATTTTTCTCCATTAGTGATGCCCTTAGGGGAATAGTATTATTGTTTCAACTTTCGATGCATTTTTATCTTTAAAAAAATAGTGATCTAAAATATTTCATTCTAAAATAAATTTAAGCCATTCATTTTTCATGTAATCTAAGATTTTTTCTTTACTAATTTGATCAATGATTTTTTTACACGTGTAAGTGTAACAATTTATAATAAAAAATATTCACAAACATGTAATAATACAAAATAAAAAAAACATTAAAATTTCATTAACAAAAAATACGTACAAATAAAACCTTATCTTACCATTGTAATCAAAATAACATATCTATATTAAAACATTGTCAAACACTTGTATTATGTTCTCCCTTCGTACCAAAAAGAATGTTACGTTTCATTTTTTGCGCATCCTTTAAAACACTTTTATATCGTCTCAAATGCCAAAAAAAACTTTCAAAACAATTTCATCTTATAATAAAGAGTAAATATGGTAAATTTTAGAATTTTTAGATGTGAGTAGCCATGCTTTTTGTGATGCACAAAAAAATGAAATGTAACATTCTTTTTGGGACGGATGAAGTATTTGATTTCATAATTGCTCACCAAGCATTTATGATTTTATTTCTATCTTCTCCAAACACTTTTCTTTCAGACTTCAGAACTCATACTATTTCTGTCAAATTTTAAAACTCATATCATATCTCCAAAGAAGTGGACTTGTTAATGATCGTGTACAAACCAACAAGCTATAAGGCAATACCCAAATCCAAGGAGAGAAAGATAGAGAAACGTCCATTTCTTAAGGGCACAGATGAAGAAAGGAGCCGACAAGTTCATGAGGCCGATCACCGTTCGCATCACCGCCGTCTCCAAAGTGTTGCCAACCCCTTGCACCGCTTTGGGATACTCTTTCCTTGTCCAGCCATAAGGCCCATCTATCACAAAGTAACTCCCATATATCACAATCAACACCGCCACCCCAATTGTGCTCACTATTGATGACTTGAAGTGGTGCTCTCTACTCCCCCAAAAGTGGAAAAGGACCCACATACAGAACTGCAACAATAATAATGATATCGCTCAAAGTTTGTTCGGTTTGACTGGAAAAAGAAAAAATGAAACCCGGCTCGGGAGGGAGAAATATAATACCTGGGAAATACAAATAAGAACGCAGGAGATGAGAAACGTTGGTCTCCGGAGATGACGAGGGACGACGAAGAGCATGACAACAACAACGACCAGAGAACCAATTGAGGAACCGATGAGAGGGGTAAGGAATTGCTGGTAACTCCCGAAGTTCAGCGACTCCAAAATCATTGGCCCGTAAAACACCAGTTGCGACGATCCCATGAACTGAGCCAAGAGAAGGAAGCCTGTCTTGTGCAGGAAGACACCTTTGTGTTGCCGTAACAAAACCATGCACGACTCCTCGGGATCGTTCACTTCGGCTCGGTTGAGAAAAAGTGATGCCAAGATTAACATGAATGCGGGAAACACTACACTTGAAAACGTTACTCTCCAACCATTTGGCCAGTAACGGGAAATCAAATAGTTTACGAGTAATGCTGAGACGATGCCGAGATAATACGCAAGATTAAATACTTTGGCAATTCTCGGATGGACATCCTCGCGACTTATTTGCTTATACAATACAGGAACAGCCTGCAAAAAAAAGAAAAAAAAATCTCCACCTTTAAGGAAGAAAAAAACAAAAGACCAAAAGAAGCCAAAATAAAATATCACATTACCTCTATAATAATGCCAATGCCAAGACCAATGACAAGGAAGAAAAGAGGCAAAGAAAGGCCATGGGGGTAAGCCAAGGCGGAGAGAGAGCCGGCGAGTACCCATGCAGCTCCTATTCTCATTCTCCCCTTTGGACCCCAATTAATGCGTAAACATCTGCCCAAAATGAGTCCAATTGTAGTCCCAAATGGGATTGAGGCTGAACACATTAACATGTAAGCGTTCACGTAGCTGCAGAAGTTTGACACCACTGCCTTTGCTGCTTTTCTATACCCTTTCTTTCCCAATAGCATTACCACAAAGTTTGGCATGTTAAGTAGACCACCTATAATAAATGTAATAACAATTACATACAACAAGCTAATTAAGGGGAACAATTAACTAATAATAAAATGAAATTGAAGAAGATAATTATCATGTGATCATGTATATGGTTACCTACAAAAGTTTGTGAATATCCATAGGTGAATCCCGCCATAACCGCTATTGGGTAACACAATATAACTTCTAGACGTCTATATTTTCAAATGGAAGGAAGTAATATCGATCGAATTATTAATTAATTATAAAATAAATATTTTTTTCGAGGGAATTATAAAATAATTATTAAAGTTGAATGAAACGCCTTTTAGCTTACGTATACTTCACATGAGACAATGGTTCTCCAGCAGTTGCTCCTGCGGGAATTATCATCGCCACGCCATCCTAAATAAATTAAAACATAGATTAATTATTTAAAAAATTAAAAAAAGTTAATCATTTTCCAGTATATTAAAGGTGAGATATTAAGGACAAAAAAGGAAGTACAAATATAATGTCATGTACCATTATTATTATTTATAGACCTAAAGGCCTGTTCAGATATTTTTTTAAAAAAGAAGGATTAAAACTGCTCTTGGTAACTTTTTAAATATAATTTTCTTTCAGCGATGGTATGTTTTATTTCATAGGAATATATATAAGTAGCCAGGGTGCATTATTAATTATTTGCGTGTGTTATCTAGCTATGGAGTATTTGAATTGAAGTTTAATTCCACATAATTGTCCAATTAAACATTGCATGCATGCTACAAATTGAATACTGTATTCTTTCTCCTTTTTATTTATTTACTCCTAATTTACCGTAGTATTTATGTATCCATTCATTTATTAAATGTTACATATGAATACCATATCATATCTTTCAATTCAATAGTAAAATATAACGAATGGTTAAGATGACGACAATTGAATTACAACCACATGCTTGCTACAAATATCATCAGGGTCCGTTTGGTACACGGAATTGACGGAATTGGAATTGATCTGAAATGAAATTAAGCCCCGTTTCGTACACGAAATTCAAATTATGGAATTGGAATTCCAATTCTGGTGTTTGATAGCACAAAAATTATGTAGATTTGAAATTGATAGTGCAAAAAATGAATTAGAATTGGTGAACTCAATTCTATGGAATTGAATCCCATGTAATTTCAATTTCAATTCAATTCCAATTCCATCAATTCCATATACCAAACGGACCCTTAGAATTTTATACAATTGATAGATGGAATTGAATTCTCAATTTTCAATTCATTTTTTGCACTATCAATTCTAAATCTACATATTTTTGTGTTATCAAACTACAAAATTGGAATTGAAGTCTCCAATTTCACGAGTCGAATTCCGTATACCAAACGGAGCCTTATATTATTAAGTACATAATTAGACAATTAACAATATCCCGCATTCCTATTAAAATGCATTATAAAACAAATATACTACGAAGTAATAATCAAAGTGTTGGATTATACCCCGAGTAAAATTAATCCTCACACTCTCTATCTCATACGGAGTATAATATTTGTTCATATATTCTCAACCAATTAAAGCACATAGTGTTATTGACCCCATCGGAGTTCAAACCTGTGACTTTCCAATTTGAGACTGTCTATACCACAAGTCGTTGGACGTTTGAGCAAACCTATTTATGAAGATCGTGTACGTGTTTATTATTGAACTTTTTTTTTTCTATGATTAAGTTGTTCATTTGTGTATAGAACACTTTCATACTTGAGTTTTCATCCTTAATTCGTGAAAGGTGAACTTTATAGAAGGAAAATGAGGGCCAAACCTTGAGATAGGAATAATCTAAAAATGAGGCCTCGTTCACGAGATATTTTAGGCTCTGGTGAAATGTCAAGACATTGGAAATGAAATGCAACCACTGCACACACAAAAAGTCATATTTAACAACTGCAAGTAAACAAAGCCAGAGAATGATCTTAGCTGTGCACAGTAGATGGTCCTATGAAGTTTGAACTATCCCTATCACGTACATCTGAATATCTGATGGCTGTGATTCACTATTCCTATCAGAGTGTACCCTACAACTCTAATTTTCAAGCTCCAAAGACTCCTACTAATGATCAACACCAACAAAACCAACAACGACAGCCCATTAGAATCCCACGGGAGTAGCGTCTAGGAAGGGTGTGTGTACGCAGATGTTACCCCTATCGAAAATAGGGAGGTTGCTTCCAAAAGAGCCCCAGCTCAAGTAACACAAAGCAAAAAACACAGAGCAGGCTAGCGATATAACATAAAGCACACATTGGACAAGCGCAAAAACTGCCAACATACCTCTATGATCATAAATCTCAGCATCAGATGGTTAAACCATCACTGGCAGCCCAAGAAGAGGCTGGCCAGACAGTGCAAAGAAAGATTGTTGGCCATGGGGACCAACAAGGCACCATAATATTCAATGTCACTGCAAATGAAGATTGTCGTCAAATGTCAACATAGGTAAACATCACTCCAATCAAGAACATATAATTAATCGGCTCATGGGAAAAAATCACCACCACAACCACAACAACAAAGCCTTTATTTAACTTGGGGTTGGCTACATGAACCAAGAGAGGAATTACGTTTGGTCATTTATAAAAATGCCTTCTTGCCATTTCCTTCTATCCTAGCCACACTCTAGTCCAAATTCAGATTTCATGGAAAAAAACCACCAAATAAAATTAATATCCTTGAGACAAAGAACATAAAGGTTGTTCTAAAAAGAGTGACATTGATATTGAACTTTTTCTTTTAGTTGAACAAACAGGGGACGATCATTAATGGTTCCGATGAAACTTCAAAATATGCATTGGAAACCTCTGGCATCCTTCTTGCGGAAGTATACTTTTTAGAAGATTTAATATCCTTCCCAGGAATAAATGTTAGAATTAGCCTTCTGGGCAGCCCAGTGATGTAAAAAGGCACCATTTATTCCAAAAAAAAGGCAAATTGGATGCTCAATTTGCTCACTGACTGTTCTTTAGCAAGCAAGTGAAGCCACTATGTTGGTAGGCAAGATCCAGTTGAAACCACTGGCAATGAGCAAACCAGAACTCTTTATCCACCAACCATTCATGTGCTAATGCCGAGTCTGATTACAGAGTATTACATATTTTTCTTCTCGATCTTGTTCATTTACCTATCAGTAACAGCTGAAAAAATATGATTCCTTGATAAAAGACGTGAATATAAAATTTTGTTAATGGATGATATTCACCCGACACCTTTGGAGCATCCAGTAATGCGATCCATTAGTAGACGTACATGGAACCTGCAAATGTTATAGCAGAAAACACATTTGTATCACTTTAAGAATGTGAAATGCAAAACAGAGTTCCCATAGCGAGATGCTGACATTATTTATGCACCAATGGGGATCTTGTGCATTCGTATAATGTACTGCATAGTATTAGTTTTAGAAGAAAATATCAGCCATTTCAAAATTGAATGCCAATGTTGCTTTTGCAGCTCAGTTTACATCTTCAATATTATAAGCCTTTTATGGGACATGGGAGAGAGGTTTAAGGTATCCTTCCTAAAGCCCAAAAAGTGGAATGAGTAGCTTTTTAGCTTTACAAAAGAATTCATACACGTGTATTTCATCTGCTTTCAAAGAGAGCTGACAGAATTTCAGTATTGCAAGACAAAAAAGGGTGGTCAGCTTCTGGTCAATGAAAAGTTGGGATAGTGTATAAAGGACATGCAGTAATCAGTTGGTTGCATCACCTGATATGCAAACAATGTTCATTGATCTTGATTAAGCTCAACCTCTGCTTCATCAGCTTCTTCCTTCATCTCCTTACATCTCCTGTAAAAAAAGCAGTAAAATTTTAAAAAATAAATTATGGAAAGGAAAATGCTCCATCCTTAAAAGCACATGATGCTGATTTTCCAAATGCTTCAGCGATTAAAATGGTTTTGAAAACTTCAAAAGGCAGCACTAAAATTTTATACCTCTCAAGATATGCATGAACACAACCCATAACACAATCCTGCAGTAAACTTTAGAAAGTTAAAACTAGGAATGTGATAGAGTAACCTAGCTAAACAAGAAGCACGCATTTTGAAACAAATACCAACTCGGGGGAAGCTGCAATTATTAAGAAATGAAGAGTGAGGGGACAAATAATAAACAAGTTTATACAATTTCAAATTTTGATTTATCAACGGGCTTTGCCACCATTTAAGAATACCTACATTTTGGAACATCACAAGAAACCGAAAAAAGTAAATTTACTCATTTAACTATGAACATCTAAAGCACTCGTACAAGTACTCATACTAGGCACAATCAACTCAAAAAAGGAATTCTGTGAACAAAAAAGCCATTGATATTGTGGCATAGTTTACTATGAACCTACAGAAACAAAAAAATTGAAGTATAAAGTTAAAGAACCCCTACCCCCCCCCCCCCCCACACACACTATTCAGCCTATCCTTGTCCTAGTCAATTGTCATGTGCATAAGCTTCAATGATTCACATTGTGAAGGTACTCCGGTAAATAATTGTGAGCCTCACTTTCTTTCACTACCTCTTTCTCGTAATTCACTCTGTATCATTTTACCTAGCCTCACTTTCTTTCACTATGACTCAGGGTCCTTTCCCGCTCCCTCTCCCTCTCCCTTTCCACCCTCTTTCTCTATTCCATATTCACGGTAATGTGCTCTGTCTCTACATCTGTGCTTTTCTCTGTTGCCTTTGTGGCTATTGTTATCAACCTTTTCTGTGGAAGATGAACGTTGAGCCAAGTGATTGTTCTTGTTATGATCACGAGGCTCAACAGCTGGCCATCGATGGTCCAATTCATCATCTCTGCTATCACACATGAGCTGTGAAACCTTTTCGCCTTCTGCATGTTTCGACTCCTTATTGTGTTGAACTCCCTGATCTATCCTTTTCAACAATGCAGGACACGTAACTACAAGAATGGTGAACACAGTAGCAGTCGGCTACATCAGGAAGAGGTGTATAACTATGAATAGCTGCTATTGATTCTTAATGAGTAGCAAAACTTTGGAGTGATATCTATTTGAATAAATTTACTTGTACCCCAAAGATTGTGCCCCAAAATGTAACCCAAAGGTTTATACTTCCATTTTGTGTTAATGTAAGTGCGAGATTGATTGCTTACATTGACACAAAAGTTCAATGCGAATTTTTGCAATCGCACTGACATTTTGTGTCAATGTAAGCCATCAAAATGTAAGTGTAAACCTTTAGGGTATATTTTGGGGTACAATTTTTGGGTACACCTAGCATGGTTGTATCTATTTTGGTGTGCATAGCACCTTAGCTAGCTTTTAGATACATCAGTAGATTCATCTTTCAGAAAGTTGATACTTTTCCAACTAGGATTGTATGATATCTGGCAATTACCCATTAAAGACAACAAAAAGCGAACAAAATTCACATTTTGTTTATGCTTCATAACAACATGTATAAACATTTTCAAAGCCCTTAATAAATATAATTTCATATCACACAAAAATATCGTCCTCTCGAACTCTAGTATTAGTACAAACAACTCAGTGCGATAGTGTGCAGCGCCATACAGATGAAAAACAAATTGAAACTCGATAGTTCAAATAATACAATGAATTAACGCTTACAGAATACAGAAATGGCGAAGGAAGTAGGATTGAGCTGAAGAATGTAGGCCTCTAAGCCTGTAATGGAGAACTTCAATCGGAGCAGAATCCATCCTTTACGAAGGCATATAGTTAAAAGAGAAGGCCAAACGCGCCCGCCTGGTTTTCGTCTTGTGCTGATTAATGTTCTTGGTTCAAGGCTCGAGAATTGCGTGGGCTTGTCTAACGGACTCCCATTGGGCTTCTTTCAAATTCATGATTTTATTAAGTAGCTCTCGGTTTGGAAAATAGTATCAATACTTTTATATTTTCAAAACTTAATTTTAAAGTTTTTATGGTTTCAAAACATTGCACACATATCCCTTTTTGATCACTTTCTGACAATTTTTCCAGCGAAGAAAATGGAGTATGTGTTTTTTTATTGCAAATACATGGAATTTTAAATTTTTAAAAACATTATAAAGAATTTAAAATAAATTTAAAAAACTTTTATAGGAAATTAATGGAAACAAAGAGATAAAAAAGTAAAAATGAAGATTAAAAAACAAAGTAACAAACAAAAAATAAGAAATGAGCACGTAAGCCCCCTATGGTTTAGAAAATAGACATCAATGCCCCTCTTCATCGAAAAATAATCTGAGAGGGTGTGGGTGAAACATTTTAAAACCACGAGGACTTTAGAAATAAGTTTCAAAAACAGAGAGGGTATTGATGCCAAATTTTCCAAACCACAGAGGGCACGGAGCGTAGCTTCCCAGCCGGCCAGGTCATCAGAGTCCCCGGGTTTGACCTGGACTTTGAGTTTTTTCCCCAAGGCATTTTGGGCGAAAGGAAACTCGCCGAGGGAAATTTGATCGCGACGTACTTTTCTTTCCACCCCTTATTTGAAGGAGGGAGACCGGAAAGAAAAGCCCGGCCCTGATGGGAGGACATGATTTCAAATCCAAGGGTTTCATTGGACCCAGGCCAGACGTCAAACATGTTATCGAAAAGACGAAGGGAGAGGGGGATACGAAGAAACCGACAAACATTGATAAAACTACTCAACATACGGTGACCATTTGGGGCCAATTGCTCCGGGCATGATACCGTATGACTCGAAGAAAAGGACTTTGAAGGGATGAATGGAGAATTCACCCAAGTCCTTGATGGAGTGGTAGTGAATCCCTATGGTCGTACCGGTGTGGAGGGAAGTGATGTTCCTCCACGTAGCCCGGTAGAACAACTGGTAACCTTCCGGCAGAAGGTTACAAAGCTCGTGAACTTGAGCTTTCTGCATGACTAACTGGAGCTCCTGGAGCAACCAGTCATCCAGCAAGATAAAGCCCTCATCCACGAACCGGGCTACCGTGACCACTCAAAACGCAGAGGAAGAAGGGGCAGAAGTGATGGCGTCAACCAGCTTCTCTTGTTGGGGAGAAGCCGGACGCTGACTGGATTCAGAAGAAGAAGAAGAAGGGGAACTGGAAGGCTGAGACCGGGCATCAGAACCATAAGAATGAACGGAAAGGTTCTGGCTGTCCTCGTTCTCAAACATGACGCAATGGAATGAAAAAAATGGAAAGAAGACTTACTTGAGACTATGAAGACTTGGATGACTCAAAGAATAGTAGTAGCAACCGGGTAGTTTTTTGGATGGCAAATTGCAAGTGAAGAAATTCGGTGGGGAGCCTCGCCTTATATATGGAAGGTGCCGCCCAGCTGAGCCAATAAGAGAGCGACATGTGGCGGACAGAATGATTTGTAATGATAACCTCTCGGAAAGGATAAACGGTGCGACAACTCGGCGGTGCTGTACCGGATTTCCATAAGGATTCTCCCGCCTACTGCACCCAGGATTTCAAAATTCAAATATATTTGGCGCCAATTTTCCAGAAGGTTTTTCCCGCCAAATCCACCCGAAAGACTCAAAATTCGAAAAATTGCTCACATATTTGTTTCCCGCCCCTGATGGTGCCCATAGAGCCAGGAATCAGATGACTCTTTGATGGGTATATACCCATTGATTCCACCCGGCAGGTTCGCAACCGGCCGGGTGCTACCTAAGTCTGACGCCTCGAGACCTGGTCGACCCGGGTAGTCTGACCAGTCGGATATAGAAGGGTTCAGAATTGAGAGCATGACTTCGTCCGACGAAGGCACATAGACTTGTCGGTCAGAGACTGACCGGCCGGAAGAATAATAACGTCGGGACGTGCTTAACGTGCTTGTATATTCTTATAAATAGGAGTGAAAGCCTCATTAGAAAGGCATGCTTTAACGAATCCACACGGTTTGTAACTTTGTAAACAGTCTCATTATCATTAATAACAAACCGGGTTACAGGTGTTCCCACCTACAGCCTTTCAGCTTATTCGTACTTAGCATTTGCGTGGTTTTACACCATCACCATGCGTTGGAGAGGTTAAACTACTAGTGAATATAAATAGAGTTCCTTTTTATTTGGTTAGGAGATTGAAGGGTAAGTTACCTCTACTCTACTAAAAAGGCAATGAATTGAATGAATAAAAAGAAGGGGCGGCCGACGCACGAGTGCACACTGGCATATGAGATGTGGGATAATTGTTTGTTTGGCATGAAAGAGAGAGAGAGAGAGAGAGAGAGAGAGAGGGGCCGAAGAAAGAAATAGGAGTAATAAATGCATGCTGTGGTGTTGTGTGATGGATAACCTAGACGGAACCTGTTGCTTTCCCTTATTACTCAATTAAGGACGACAAGACTTTTTGTGATGGCATGGATGGCCAAGCTTCTTGCTCCTCACATTTTAAATGCTCCTCCTTTTTTTCTACTCAAAATAAAAAAAAAATTATGTGGCTTGTAAAATTTCTTTATTAATTCAATTCTTTGGAGAATTCCATCATTTGTATTTGAAAACATACCATTCCTAGTTTGACTTTAGACAAAAATAAGAAAGAGTACGTTATTTGGAGTAGACTTTCTAATTTTGTTCTTGATGTAATTAGTAAAAATAACGTATGAGTTAGTAAAGATAAAAGTAGTATTTTGATAGAAATTGGGAATGTTTTGGTGAAAGAGAAAAAACGAAAGAGAAAGTGTTTTGAAAAATGAAAGAAGTAGTACATTTTTCCCACTTTTTAATAACCTTTTTAAATTTCATAAAATCAAAATTATGAGTTTTATCATCAAAGTTACGTTCTTCGATCAGGTATATGGATGATCGATCCAGAGGTAGAACTACGTACGTACTATGCAAGTGGCCATTATATTACGGAGTATTAATTATATATCCCCAAGCTACGCTCCTCTTTTGGTGGTTGAGTTCAATGAGTTATGATAAGGATAGCTCTCTCTCTCTCTCTCTCATATATATATATATATATATATATATATATATATATATATATATATATATATATATATATATATTTTGATCAATCAAATAGCATAGCCTCTCTAATACGGCCGCATATAATTGCTTATGCTAGCTGATGGCACATAATAATAACATTGTTCTAAAAAAGGTTAGAGTATCTCCAATAAATAGGGTACATTGTGGTAGTGTAAAATCTAATTTATAATATCAATGATGTTTTACACATTTACTTATTTATACTCAGCTCACTACAACCAAATCTCTACCCTAGAGTGTGTGTGTGTGCGCGTGTGTGTATTGCACTTTTATAATTTTTTTATTCTCTCCGTCCCAAAAAGTCTTTCCTGTTTCATTTTTTGTGCATCTCATAAAACACTTCTATCCCGTCTTGATTGCCAAAAAAACTTTCAAAATAACTTCTACCCATAATAAAGAATTTTTTTTGTAAATTTTAGGCATTTTAGATGTCGTTAGAAGTGTTTTATGGGATGCGCAAAAAATGAAACAGGAAAGACTTTTTGGGACGGAGGGAGTATTATTTTAAGTTATTTGTGCATCATAAGTATTTAAATAATTATTAGGGCATTTATTTAAATGATATAATAGGATATCCGAAAGAAAAGTTTAATCATAAAAAAAATACTACCTCCGTCACAGAGTATTTGTCCACTTTCATTTTTACACACCATCCAATACACTTCTTTAATTCATTATATCTTGTAATTTGTATATTAAAAAATTATAGAAATTATATATTAATAATCTACAAATCAAACAAGATCACACATGACTATATTTAAGCTTACACATTGAGAAAATTTGATGAGTCAAAATGCTTAGATGAATAGTTCCAAAAGTCAAAACTGGACGAATACTCCGAGAGGGAAGGAGTAGTTTGGAGCTATAATGGATCATGGATGTATTATTGTAAGTGTGGCATGCATACACTCTTTCCCTCTCGTCAAACTTTTTTATTTTTTTTAAAAAATACTCTTCTGTCCCAAAAACTCTTTCTTCTTTGTTTTTTTCTTGTCCCACAAAGTCCTTTCCCTTCCTATAAAAAACATTTTTTACTCCTACTATATCTTACCTACCTATCACACCATATTTTTTTACTAAAAATCTATTCATCACATCATATCCTACTTTTACTTATCTCATTAAGAGTTTTTTGGAAAGTTAACAAAGAATGTCTTTTCCTTAAATTTCCAAAAATCAAAATGGGAACATCTTTATGAGATGAAAGAAGTATGTAATTTCAATGTTACTTTCCAATTTTGTCATTACTTTATTGTAGGATAGAATAAGATGTGGATAGATTAACACTGAAAAGAGCCAAGGGCTTTGTAGTCTAATGTCACGCTAGTCACATGTTCGATCCTCAATACGGCTCAATACGGGCAATAATCTACAAGCTTTAATATGTTGAGAATGTATAAACAAATATTACATTGTAATAGAATTATTAGTGTTAAAAAACAATGAATAGATCGCTATAAAATGATAGATTGGTCAATAATTAATAAGTAGAATTATTTTTTAGAGTAGAATTATTTTTTAAAATTGATTAAAAAATAATAGTGGAAAGATTTTCCGGGGATGCATGGAAGGAGTTAGGAGTATATAATTAATCTTTACGGTGAATATTTTTTTACTCCCTTCAACATTCCAAAAGCCAGATATATCGAAGGCGTGAAGGGAGATTCAGAGCCTAAGGGCACTGGAAATACGTTTGAAGCTCCGGGGCTTCAAACTTTCTCTCTCTGCCACTGTCAGCTTTAACTTACATCCAAAATTCATTGGAAATGGGTTTGAAGCCCCGGGGCTTCAAACTGGGGCTTCAAACTTTCATTTTTTACACTTTTAAATATACATCTTCTAAAATTAAATTAATAAAATGTAACTAATTTATTATTTAATTATTTAATTATATTGAAACACGAATAATAAAATGTAATTAATTTATTATTTAATTATCGTCCCACTCTTGGTAAAACCACATCGCGGCGTCGTTCGGCGGGAGATCGTCGGGAAAAAATCCGGAGCCGGAAGGATTCATGTTGAAAAGAGAGTCATGATGAACTCATAACTAATTTAAGTAAACCCATCTTTATAGAAATTAATTTATTTTCAAATTGGTCCTTAACTATAATTTGTACTTCTAATTTGTTGAGATAACACATTCATTTTGTACTAAACATGCATCATAGTCTTGCATTTCTACTACCTAAAATACAATTCACATGCCTAAATTGTATATTTATTCATATTACATCCCCAATTCTCAAATATTTTGAGAATATTGTATAATAAAATGTGAAAATTGGGGATGTAATTCATGAAGAAGATGACTTATGGTATGAGAATTGTGTTTGAGGTAACTAGGTCTCGTACTGGTGCGTTACACGGGGAAAAAATTTTAATTTAAATTCATATACAATATTTTTAAGAATTAAAGAGCATTTCAAGTAACATGACTAGTTCTAAATTATCAGAGAGAGTTATAAAAGACAAATGTATTATGAAGTACGGAGTATGTCTTAATTCATGAGGCACGAAGTGCAATACAAATGATTACTCCGTAATAAAGTATCCAAATGCATTTCAACAAAATTTCTTTATAAATAACATTAAAGCATACTTAATCCAAAGTTCTTAATAAGTTGCTTCATGTAGAAAAGATGCTCTGAAGTTTATCTAGAACGCATGTGGAGCACCAGTTGCTCTATTTTCAAAGAAGTTGTTTAGTGAAACAACTCCCACTAAAGATATTCTTAGTAATGTGTGATTCGATGATGTGCTTTCTTCATCACAAATAAAAAATTTTAATCGATATTGTTTTGTCACGTGTAAAACAGTAACATGTAGTTGACCATGACAAAAAATAAATTGCTTAAGTAGTAGGCGTACGTGCACACTTGACAATTGTCTTTAACTTTCAGGCCAAATAACTTAAGTGCATCTTGTATGGATACTAATACTCCTCTCATTTCAAAAAATATTTCTAAAATCTTTATTGTTCCAAAGAGTTTAACACGCACCACTTTGATTATTTTTCGAGCTCATCTTGATCAATATTAATTCCAACTTTTTCAATTCAACATTTTTAAGTTTTGTAAAAGTAAAACTAAGAAGAATTTAAAGTTAAATTCCAATCTACCGACTATATCCGTAAAAGATGTTGAAAGGTTTAATTAACAACTAAATTAGAGTGGACCACTTTGATTATTTTTCGAACTCATCTTAACCAATATTAATTCCTACTTTTTTCACTTCAGCATTTTTTAAGTTTCGTAAAAGTGAAATAAGAAGAATTTAGAGTTAAATTCCAATTAATCTACCGACTATATCTGTAAAATATGTTGAAAGGTTTAACAACTATATTAAACTATTTTTATTTTTAATTTTTTCCTGAAATTAAACAATTAAACGTACGGGGTTTTAAAGTTAAGAATCAATATTATCAAATTGTTAGTTATATTATTTGTACACTCGTTTCAGATCTGATTTTTTTTAAAATTATATACTATCAATTCATAATGTTTTTTATGGTTATCTCGGTTATTTTTTAATCAATTCTAATAGCAGAAGCTAAACAAATGATTCGAATAATTTATTTGCATATAAAATAATTTGGCATGGGATGAATGATGATTAATATGTTTCCATGAATACTCTCTACATGTAACTCTTTTTACCATTTAAATATTTTCTCATGCAAAGATCATCATGGAAAGATTTAGTAATCTTGGGATTCTTGACACATTTCCCATGACTCTCTAATCAATAAAAATGATTTTTTACAATTAATACACCTATAAAAACACAACTTTTTAAAATAAGAAATGATGTCTTTACAACATCTCATAAAATGAGTCGTCCATTCAACACATTCTTTCATGAAAAGGTCATCATGCAAGATTTAGAAATCTTGTCAAATTGTATAAAAAGGAATGAAGAATATTTTTTTACCAAGATGAAGTACACTAAAGAATGCACAAAGAAGGATTTCACCATAGCTCACATTTTTTTTGTATATGAATTGTAGGTTACCCATTAATATTGGTGGACTATAGTGTGTGCTTGCACACATCCAATTTTTGATTCAGTGAAAGAGAAGTTTTGGAGGGGATGTTAAAGGAAAGAGAATGGTTGGTAGAATATTTGGTAGAATATTTGGAGATATTTGTGTATATAGTTTTGGTAGTTTTCCTTGTATAGGGATTCTTTCCTTGTATAGGGATTCTTTCCTTTTTCCTTTTCCTTTACTTATTAGGAGTCTCCTATATATATGTCCTCATTGTAAATTGTAAAGACAATAAAGAAATACAGAGAATTTCCTCTCAAATAATTCTTTCATGGTATCAGAGCCAAAACCCTAGAGTTTTTCAGCGACTACTGTTCACGATCGCCCGACATGGCGTCCATCGATCGTTGCTCAGTTTCAGTTGTTTGTTGTTATTGCTGAACAACGGAACGGTCGACCGTTGCTCTTGAACGGTCAAGCATGTCGACCGTCTCGTCGGCAGATTGTGTGATAGATGCTGCTGTTGATTCTTCTGCCACCGCCGTACGCCACTCTGCTACCGTCATGGCCGATGAACAACCAAGGAAGATGTTTTTCTCCCTATCATCGTGTGTTTCCAGTGTGAAGCTTTTAGGTATTCCTGTGTCACCGCGTTGGATTATAGATACTGGGGCATCAAATCATATGACTGGTGATATTTCATTATTGCATGACGTCGTGGGAATATCACCATGTGAGATTGGTTTGCCCAATGGGAAAAGAATTATTTCTGTACAATCTGGGAAGATTAAATTAACAGAAATATTACTTCTGCACGATGTCCTATATGTTCCCACTTTGAGTTGCCATTTAATCTCTGTGTCACAATTGACAAGGGATTCGAACTGTGAGGCACGTTTTGCCAACGATAAGTGTATACTACAGGATATGTATTTAAAGACAGAAATTGGTATGGGTGAGCAGGAAGGAGGACTTTATTACTTCAAGGAGCCGGAAAAGAAGATGGTGTGCAGTGCGAAGAAGGAGAGTAAGTTTGATCTTTGGCACAAACGACTTGGACATCCTCCCTCTCATGTTTTGTCTTTTGTTCCTGGAGTTGGAACAAGTAAGAGTAGTCACAGTTGTTGTGACATTTGTTTGCGTGCTAAACAGACTCGTGGGAGCTTTCCTATAAGTTTTTATCAATCTGCTGATAAATTTGATATGATACACTGTGATTTATGGGGACCGTATAGGACTCCAAGTTTTGATGGTTCTACAATGTTCTTGACCATTGTGGATGATTTTTCAAGAGGTGTTTGGGTACATTTGCTTGATTCCAAACGCAAGGTTGGCACTGTTTTTAAACAATTCTGTGCTATGGTAGAGCGACAATTTGGGAAGAAAATAAAGTGTGTTTGCGGTGATAATGACACAGAATTTGAATGTCTAAACGAATATTTCAAGGAGCAAGGAATTATTCATGAGACGTCTTGTGTGTCTACTCCACAACAGAATGGGAGAGTAGAACGCAAGCACCGACACATTTTGAATGTGGGTCGGGCTTTGAGGTTTCAGGCTGGTCTTCCGATTGAGTTCTGGGGAGAGTGTATACAGACCGCCGCACATTTGATCAATCGCACACCGTCGTCTTTGCTAGGGGGGTCACACCATACGAGAAGATCTATGAAAAGCCACCTTCTTTGGCTCATATTCGTGTTTTTGGATGCAGATTTTATGCTCATAACTTGAAGAGGAATGGAGATAAATTCGCAGCAAGAAGCAATCCTGAAATATTTGTTGGATATCCGCAAGGGAAGAAGGGATGGCGTATTTACTACCCGGACACTAGGGAAATTAAGGTGTCCTGGGATGTTGTGTTCTGTGAAGATATTTTCCCTTTCTTGACTCCTACAGGTGCATCTCTTGATACAGGAAGTACAAATGAGGTTAGCTCTTATGATGAAGATGAAGAACTGCAGACGGAAGAACGGATGGACCGTTCCACGAGGGACAGTCGACCAGAGGAAAACGGTGGAGCAGACAGGCTACAGATGGTCGACCGGATGGACCGTTCGGTTGTCCACGGTCGACCGTCCGAGAGGCAGAATGACGGGTTCCTGAGAGATGACCAAACGGTCGACCTGGTGGACCGTTCTGATATCCACGGTCGACCTTCCGCGAGGCAGAATGACGTTTCGTTGGGAGATGATCAAACGGTCGACCGTGATGTGGAAGACGGTCGACCGTCTTCGAGGCAGAAAGTTAGCGATCCAGAACAGCTTCAGACGGTCGACCCCGTGGACCGTTCCACGAACGCCGGTCAACCATCCTTCCCAGCAGGCGGTGGAGAACTTGGGACGTGGTCAACGTGAGAAACGTCCAAATGTACGCCTTGCCGATTATGTTACCCATGTAACTGGTTCACATGGTGGTGAAAAATGCAAATATCCTCTTGCCTCGTATGTCACACACGAGAAGTTCTATGACAGACACAAGTGTTTTCTCAGCGCTCTTGATGTTGGAGTGGAGCCCACAAGTTTCAAGAAGGCATTCCAGGATGAACGATGGAGGAAGGCTATGAAAGAGGAGATTGATGCACTGGAGGCTAATGGGACGTGGTCTCTTGTCTCTCCTCCACGCCATAAAAAGCCCCTTGGTTGCAAATGGGTATATAAGATCAAGCGCAAGTTTGATGGAAGTGTAGAGAGATATAAGGCGAGACTTGTTATACTTGGCAATCATCAGGTCGAAGGACTTGACTACAAAGAAACATTTGCTTCTGTAGTCAAGTTGACCACTGTGAGAGCGCTTTTAGCATTTGCAGCAGTTAAGGGGTGGGAATTGCATCAGATGGATGTTCACAATGCATTTCTACACGGAGATCTTCAGGATGAGGTGTATATGAGATTGTCACCTGGTTTCTCGAATTCGTCTAATGTGGTGTGCAAACTCAAGAAATCTCTGTATGGCTTAAAGCAAGCTCCAAGGTGTTGGTTTGCCAAGTTGTCTGGAGCCTTAAAACGCTATGGGTTTGTTCAATCTGTTGCTGATTACTCCTTATTTTCCTTTGTTGGAAAGAAAAGAGTCATACATGTTTTGGTTTATGTTGACGATTTGATTATTGCTGGAGATAATACAGAGATGGTAAGCAAGTTCAAAGCCTATCTCGGAGATTGTTTTCATATGAAGGACTTGGGAACACTGAAATACTTTCTTGGCATTGAGGTGGCGAGGAGCATGTCTGGGATTTTTCTCTGCCAACAAAAGTATGCCATAGACATCATCACTGAGGCGGGGTTGTTAGGTGTCATGCCGTTGGGTGCCCCGATGGAGCCAAATCATCACTTGGCTCGTTCCCAAGCCCCGGTCCTTGCAGATCCAGAACCATATCGACGGTTGGTAGGAAGGTTGGTATATCTCTCCGTTACACGACCGGAACTTTCTTACGCCGTCCACATTTTAGAACAGTTTTTGAAGGAACCAAGGGAGGATCAGTGGTCTGCGGCCCTTAGAGTCGTTCGTTATTTGAAAGGATGTCCAAGTCAGGGCATTTTTCTGTCAGCAGAGAGTAGTCTTCAACTCACAGGATGGTGTGATTCAGACTGGGCAGAATGTCCTTTGACGAGGCGGTCATTGACAGGGTGGTTTGTGCAGCTTAGAGACTCGCCTGTCTCATGGAAAACAAAGAAGCAATCGACGGTGGCTTGCTCGTCTGCTGAAGCAGAGTATAGAGCTTTGGCTGTCCTTACATGTGAGTTGAAGTGGTTGAAGAATGTTTTGCGGTGTTTAGGGGTTGAGCATAAGGACCCCATGACGGTCCGGTGTGACAGCACGACAGCACTTCACATTGCTGCTAATCTGGTTTTCCACGAACGCACGAAGCACATTGAGATTGATTGTCACTTCGTTCGTGATGAGCTCTTGCGAGGAGAGATTCGTACACTTCATGTGCCTACTACGCATCAGCTTGCATACATTCATACAAAGGCACTCGGAAAGTCACGTTTGGAGTTTCTTCTTCCCAAGATGGGCATTTCGTTACTACATGCTCCAACTTGAGGGGGGGGGGGGTGTTAAAGGAAAGAGAATATTTGGTAGAATATTTGGAGATAATTGTGTATATAGTTTTGGTAGTTTTCCTTGTATAGGGATTCTTTCCTTTTTCCTTTTCCTTTACTTATTAGGAGTCTCCTATATATATGTCCTCATTGTAAATTGTAAAGACAAGAGAAATACAGAGAATTTCCTTCCAAATAATTCTTTCAGGGGATGAATTATTTGGCGCATGATTTTAAAGATTTAGAAATCTCTATGTATGCAATGCCCAATGAGCAATGAGCATGTAGAAACGTGTCCGGTTTGAAAAAACACATTTTCTATCTTAAATCAATTAGGTTAGCTATATTATTATAAATAAACGTGTTAGCTACTTTTTTTACAAAGAAGACTCTATACACACCCCAATGCAAAGACCATCATGACCTCACGACACCTCATACTGTTGGATGTTTAATTCCCACATACCCATGCAAAGTCATTATGCTCTCACTCTTTCCAATAAAAATCAGTTGTTAAACCACTCATCCCTGAATCATTTTGGCCCATACCCATACTCGAACCCAAACATTTTGGGGAAAAAGTCACTATTCATCTTTCTCCCATATCTTTGTATATTAAAATATTAGAAATGAAAAATTAAGATATTGAGTATATATGGAATAAATGTGTTATCTTAACAAATTAGAAGCGTGAGTTATGTTAGGGAACCACTTTCAAAACAAGAAATCTTGTAAGAATGACTTAGCAAAGAAAATAGAGAGACGAAAAAAATAGTACTCCCTCCGTCCCTAAATAAAGTTCCTCTTTCGTTTTTTCTTTGTCCCTAAATAAATTTCTCTTTTCCCTTAAAAAACCTCTTTTACCCCTTACTTTTTCATACCCTACCTATCACATCATACCTTTTTACTAATAATCTACCTATCACATCTTACTTTAACACATCACATCAAGAGTATTTTTGGAAAGTCAACACCAAAATATCCCTCCCTTAAATCCTCAAAAAGTCAAAAATGGAACTTTATTTAGGGACGGAGGGAGTATATTTTAAAGGGATTTGAAAAACATTATTTAGCTCTAAATAATACAACCCCTGTGAGAAGTGTTTGTGACACAGCCCGTATGTGACCCATATGACATGTAATGGTGAAAGTTGGCACCTGAATAATATAAATAAAGTCATGAAATGAGTGTTATTAATTTCCAATTGAATCTTAAAAAATCAGTAGTAATTAAATAATCGTGGGTTCGAATGTTGGACACGTACTTGAAAAGATACCCAAATATCGGACCTGAGAACTCAACAGTCTCATTTTTTGATCGAATGAAATCAAATGAATTATTGAAAGTATTTTTTTTTGTTTAAATAAAAATAAATAAATAAAAGATCAGATGGAATAATTGAAATGGAGGTGCTGGCAGAGGGCAATTGATTGTGAAATGGAGTGAGTATTGAGGCGACCCGACCCGCACGGATGGCAATAATTGGGAGGGAGGGAGCCCCCAGTAGTACACACACCTGTTTTCCTATTTGTCCATGAAGAAAGAAGAAGAAGAAGATGATGATGTACTGTAGCCGCTTGCTTACCCCTTCCCCATCATATCATATCACAAACCTTTATGGGCCGGGTCTACCTTCCGCTTTCTTTGTTCCCCGTTCGGTTCTCTTTCACATTTGTTTTGTGTTTCTTACAAAAAAGAAAAAAAAAGGATGTCCATCCTTCTCTATGGGGCAAATTCTTCCGTGGATCTAAGTTTCATGCTCATTTTATAAACTTTAGTATTTTTGTAAAATTAAAGAAGTGAGTCATATGCGAAGAAAAAAATATCAAATGCAAGCCCACGAAAAATGTGAGAAGGTCTACATTTTAAATGTGGACCTTGAGACGCATTACTCTATTTTAAGGATTAAAATACCTTTTATATATACACACACACACATTGAATAATTTTTTTATTTGGCACATGCTATTTTTCACGTGAAATTTGCACTAAATAGTACTAAAACATATTCCCTCCGGTCCTAAAAATATGAAAGTTATTAATTTTTAAGGGATTTAAGGAAGTGTATTTTGATATTGAATTTCCAAAAAAGTCCTTTAATGTGATGGGTAAAAGTAGGATTGATGGGTAGATTATTAGCAAAAAGCTATGATGTGATATGTAGGGTATGAAAAAACAAGTGCAAAGGTGACTTTTTAATAGAAATAGGAAGTTTTTTTGAGAGGGATGAAAAAAGAAAGAAGAAAGGTTTTCAAGGACGGAGGGAGTATATCTTTTTTCAATGTAGTAATTAAACTTTTTTATTTCCTAAATAATATTTGAATAATGTCTAGTGCTAGGAGCAATGTCTAGTAATGGTGGACATTTAGTTTGAACAACGTGCGGTGGTGCTGAACATTTATTTGAACAATAACCAGTGGTACAACGTTGGGAAATAAAGACATATGATACTGCATAAGGAAAATCATTATGTTTTAATACTATTTTGAAAGATTCACATTTTTTTCATTTGTATAATCCACTACATAAGACATATACGCAAATGGGTCATTTATAAAGGGATAATCTGATCCACTCGATCACATTTATCTACTCTTCTCGTTTTAATTGTAAAAACAGAGTTGGGTTTGAAAGAAAATGGAATAGGTTCAAAGAAATTAAAAGGAGATGTAAAAAATTAGATAGAAAATAAAATGCATTGAGAAAAAATAAAAAATGTTGAAGCAATTATTTTATTTTATAAGTTTTATATTTTTATTTCAAAAATTTATACTCTACTTTTTAAATTTTTTGTCATTTTATTTTTTTCTTCTATGTCATTATATTTTATATCAAATCATATTAGTAATTTTTGTGTGACTCTCACTTTTAATTTTTTTTCACTTTTTAAATATAATATCAATAGTCAGTTCTTCCTATTTTTTTAATTAGGAAAAGATTACTATTCTAAATTTTACTTCCTCCGTACAAAAACGATAATCGTTTTTCAAACAACGTTCAAAATCCCGTAATTTTATAAAAATGATTTTATTTACAAATTGGTATAAAAATAAAAATTAAAACTTATATATTTAAAAGTTCTGCAAAACAAAAAATGACCCGAATATTTTATTTTACCAAATGATCTATTAAAATATGTAAACAAGCCAAAATTATCCAAAGACCGTAATAGTACATAGTTAATCATTTTGGGACGAATGGAGTAATACATAACTTATGGTAAAAAGTTTAAAATATTAATTATAACATTCAAAGAAACAATCAATAAAAATTTGAAAATCACAAAGATGATTAAAAATTAATGAATTTCTGATTTCAATAATTTACATTGGATCTATAATGATAACTAAAATTTATCTCTAGGATAA